TCAGGAGGTTTAATCAAGTTTTGCTTTAACAAAAGTTGGAAACATTTAAATGATAGCTTAGAAAAATAAGTCATGAAAAGGATTGCCAATAGGGCCTAGTTCATCATTTATACACTTCAAACATTTCCAAGAGTTTTATCTGGAGATTTGGGGGTAAGGTAGAGTGGTACTCATCATTAGTGTCTCCAAAATCTTTCTCCTCAGGAGGTTTAAAAGCAACTGGAAAACTAGGTGAGTGAGGTGGGTGATTTACCCTACTCTTTGAACTTGAAATGCCACACTCGGGTAAATGAATGCCTGCACAGTACTTTCCTCGGCGCCTGATCTAATCACATTTCTTCAAGTGCTATTCGGACCAAGGAGTTCCATCCATCCTGCCGGCTGAGTGGCACACATTCTTGACATTTGGACAGGTGGGGGGAACGATGGTCCTGAATAACAGAACGCTTGGTTCCAAAGCTGCCCCCTTCACCATGTGCCAATTTAACAGACAAGAACAAGGATGTAGCAGACTAACTAATAAAAACAAACCAGAAAATATTGATTTCAACCCAGACACATGGTGTTTAATTTAAAAGACAGCTCTTCAGAAAATCCTTTCCTCAGTTGTCACACAGGCATGAGAACGTGTCTATCTTCCCAGGCACTCAGCTAGAACAGAGACAAAGGAGTGGTACTCTTGCTTTTCAAGTCAACACAAGGGCATGGGTACATGCGTGGCTGGGGTTCATTATTCTTTCAGCTTGCCAGTTTTAATTTCTACTCTCTGAAAATAAAAGACATACCCTTTCTCCTCAGACATTTAGCTTTTCGTTTTTTTCCTTTTTCTCTCAAATACAAAAAAGAGAGGTCTAAATCCAACCGATAACATTTAATTTAACATTAAGGTATTCTATAGGGCTAAAGTCTTTCACTTTATAAAGCCAAATGACTTGTACATGCACGTTGTTTCCAAGTGAATATACAGCATGGAATACAAATGAAAGTACAAATTGAAGTTGATAGATTCTGCCTGAAAGCACTAAATTTGAGTCTTCTGAGTGTAAAGGTTTCTATCTTTTATTTGTTTATCTGCTCTCAAAAGATAATTGCATTAAGTGATATCATTGGCCAATAGTAGGGGATACAAAATGCAAATAAGATTTGCATCCAAGCATGCATATGTGAGCTAACAAGTGAAACTCCAAAATATCCAATGACACAGAGAGGGCATGTAAAGGTCAAATAAGTGTATTCAAGTTAAGATTTAAGAGAGATGAATCAGGGAACTTATATGTATATATGCATAGCCCATGGATACAGACAATAGTGTGGTGAAGGCCTGGGAGGGGCGGGTGCAGGGTGGAGGGGGTCAATGGGAAAAGAGAAACACCCCAGGGGACATCTGTCATACTTTAAACAATAAAGATAATTTTTTAAATGAAAAAAAACAACAACACAAATTAAGATTTAAGTAAATAATTACTGAGCAAGTCAAGTAATATCAAGAGTAAAGAGTTATACATTTCAAGCATCTGATTGCTCATCATGGTGATAGGCAACTGTGGGGTGGTTGTGTTCAGGTAACCGTTTGCCATTTTCCTCCTGAACCAGTGGTTTTCAACCTTCCTAATGCCGCGACCCTTTAATACAGTTCCTCATGTTGTGGTGACCCGCAACCATAAAATTATTTTTGTTGCTACTTCATAACTATAATTTTGCTACTGTTATGAATCGTAATGTAAATATCTGATATGCTATATGTGTTTTCTGATGGTCGCGACCCACAGGTTGAGAACCGCTGTCTCTAGTATTTACATGTATGACGTAAATTCCTGCTACATTTTAGGAAGGATAAATGTAAATACCCTGAGCGATACTAGATCAATGAATAATTTTAGTCATCAATGATTTTGCCTCAGGTGTATAGACACACTAAATAAATGCATCCACTTCTGTCGCCCTGAAAGAGAAGTCCATGTACAAAATGCCATTGTTCACAAAGGATAATGTTAGGAAGGGCTCATTTTAATTCCTAAGAATCTTCCTTAAATAGAACATTTTTGTGTCACAAAGTTAAAATTCTAGAATAAACTTCACACAGATCTCCTGTCACTTCAACTCTGAAGTCTTGTCAGTGCAGCTAACTAATTATATGAAGCACCCGGGAGTCAATGTTTCTTTGCCGTGTTATTTTTTTCAATGATTCAAGCACTGCTTTAAAGTATATGTGGGCTTACTAATCAATTCCCGTTCCCCTAAATTGCATGCTATGCTATGCACGATTTTCTCCTCCAAGCATGTAAAATGCTAAATTACATTTGTCTTTGATATATTTTCCCCCCTTTATTTTAAAAGTATCACAGGAAGGAACACAGCTACTATAAAATTAATATGCAATCATCTAGCAAAGGAGTACGGGCCTAGCGGGGCTTGAGAGGGCACGTGTATGCTTGTGTCTGTGAGAAACAGAAATGTGCCTGGAGACTTGGGGAGGTGGTGGCGATTGTAATCAGTTCAGTTACTCTCCGTGCATCTGTTAACAATGTGGAGAGGCACGCTCATTCTTTCATCCTAAGTGCTATTCCTCAAACCCTTACAAAATTATGTTGGATTCAGAAATGATGGGCTCAGGATTACATTATTTTGTTATTTGGAATCTTCTGGAATCATATAGTACATAAATCTATTGTAAAACTGATTAATTTTCTGAGATAATTGGGAAATATAGATCAATCAAGAATATATGAAGAATAAACTCAGTTATGTGTATAATTTTGAGATAGAGAAAGAAATGGAAAAAGAGAGCCAGAGTGAGATAAAAGTAGTTGTCCATCTATACATACATATATACATATATACTATTCATATATACTATACATACATACACACACACATTCACACATACACAGAGCGGGAGAGAGAGCAAGAAAAAAATGAACAGGTTAGCAGAGATGACTGCCTCAAGACAGTTAATTAAAAAGCAGAAAAACTTAGATTTTTCAGGAGGCACATTCTCCCCTGACTTAATGGCTCAAATTATAGTCTAAGGATACCAAGAAAAAGAGGAAAATAAAATTGAGTATCCAACTACCTCAAAGAAAAAATTTCAAAAACTGCTGAATGTGTCTAATTTTGTAAAGAGAGCATTCCACCGCAATTGTTATGAGACAAGTCAAGGTAACATAAAGATCAGAGAAAGTTAAAATTCCATGAATCCTAAAAGCTGTCAAGAGCTCTAGAACTTCCCTTCATTTATGAATGCAAAGTACCCCATGGGAATATCTGAATATTGATTAAATAATTTTGGGGTAACTGTGTAATATTCTAAATGCTATCTCAGAATTATGCTGGTTTCAAAGCTGATTACCAGTATGCACTATCAAGGTTAAAAGATTGCTAAATATTGAAATAATATGTGCCCAATCTCCCTGAGTGCATTTCTATCCACATACCCAACTTTTCTACCAACCAGCAATTCACATGTTAGCGCAAAGGGCTCTAAAGTCAATGTCCTCAGTGATTTGTCTGTGTTCTACACTAACCGTATCTTCATGCTTTTTTAAGTCTCCCTTGCCCCCATCACAGGACTTAGACAGGTCAATTTGGTTAATTTTTGCCTCATATGCATACCTCCTTTCCTGACCTTTCCAAGGAATTTTAAGAAAAAAAGGAAAATAAGGCAGATGGACAGTAATAGGGGCCACAACCAAACACCAACCTGATGTTACAGGCCCCAGCTACTCAGCAGGACACCCTCACAAAAGATAGGACATGAGGGTGGTAGTGGGTTGTGAGCAAGCCCAGGGATGCCCAATGAGGATCCCCTTTCAACAACCCTTGTTGAATTTCATTGTTATTTAATAGTAAATAATTCTTGAAGTCCACGCAGCTATGTCTGGGACATTCACAATATTATTATTTCTCTTTATTAATAAGAATAAAGAGCTAACCTTTACAACATCTTTATTACGTGTGGAAAACCTTTTAAACATACAGATGCACACACAGGCATGCATGTGCACACACACGTAATTGGACACTAAATTTATCATTATCATTTAGATTAAGAAAAATTGGAGGCATAGATGATTTATTTAAAATATTGAATAGTAGAGATAGGATTCAACCCTAAAACCCATGGAGAGCAGAGGCCAATTACCATGCTAACTGCTCTCACAGGGCGCAGAGGACGAAGTTGGACCTAACTAGATATGACAGATATCCCAGAAGCTGTTCCCAAACTCCTATCTGGATAACACTAAGTCAAAGATATTTCATCTTTTTTCTTTCTTAAAATAATGTGGGCCTCTTTGGCTAGTTTTAATAAAACATGGGTTATTGTTGTGAATGAAATAATTGAATAGAAATTGTGCTTAAAATTGTCTTTAAAAGTATTCACTGCTCCCAATCATCCCTTTAACTTTCTGTTTTTTGGTGTGTGTGTGTTTTTTTGTTGTTGTTCTTGCTTTTCAATTTCAGTTGTTGATTGACTTATGACCCTAATGTTAGAACCCTAATTTAATAACTCCTAAATAATATGTGATCAGCACTATTTCTTGGTTTATATACTTTTTAAGATAATTATGAGACCTAAAGAACAATCATTTAGTTTACTTATATTATAATCTTTCCCCTACTTCATTTTAAAGTTGGTTTTTACACTTTAGTTCTCCTTTTACATATCTTTTATTTTTAAATAATATCTCTACATTTTATTTGTCTATCACCTATAGAAAGCTTTATTTAGTGTTTGACCTACCTTTTATCTTCCACCATTCATACCCACTTTCCTCCACCTATGCCTCCCTGAGACTCACAGCTTAATTATACATCAACAAGGCTAATGTTTACATCCAAAACCAGGCCCTTCTCTTTGAAGACTGTTGGAAACTCAAATGTGAAATCATGTGAAACTCAATTTTGGACATGGGGATCACACACCTCATAAAGTAGCTTTTTTTCCAGTGACAAATTCTTTCAAGAAGTAAACAATGTTTCAATACCTCAATCTACAGTACCTGTAACTTTCAGCTTTTCAGCCCCAATGGTAATCTCATCTTCATCTGCAGAAAACAGCACCCTGCCATCTTCGCTTGCTCTCACTTCAAATCTTTTACACTGAGCTTCCACAGCATCAGCTCCTATGGTCAGAGGAAAGGTTTAAAAATGAAACTGGTAAGCAGGAAATCATCAATATGTATTTTTTAGAAAGATAAGAGAAATGCATCTATTGTTTAGTTTATCTCTGCAATATGTTTTCACCCAAATTAATATTTTTAATTGTTATACTTTTCAGTAGCCTGTACAATTTGGAAGAATCTTGCTGGGCTAAGATGGCTGGGCATACATACATCTGACATCTAAATGTCTGACGTGATCCGAAAAATGTTTGTGGGGTTAGCTAGTTCAAAACTCTGTATATAAACAAGGAGAGACAATGTCTGCTTTGTTCTTGGTTGCAGCCTGAAAATGGGGCATTACATTGGAACCTGCTGCAGGCTCAATAAATACTTATGGACTGAATGACTCGTGTTTTCTCTCTACAAGCAGAAAATAGTGCCCATACCTGCTGCATCACAAGATAAAGCATTATTCAGCTGTGAAACTTTAGTTACTTTACATTCCAGAGTCTAATATTGAAATTTGTTCACCCTTTACTATCACTGAATGTGAACCCTTTAATAATCTTGCATGCATATACATATTTATGTATATGTAAGTGTTTCTGTGTTCCTAATGTCTTCTAATAAAATGTTTTCTTGACTTGCTAAAATATAATATTAAATAAATATAATTACAATATAGAATTGAAATCTATTTTCAATTTATTGGATACTTTTTCATATTAATCCATTCACAGACTACAAACCCATCCCCCATATTTGGAAAACACAATTCCTATGAGAGTTTGGAGGGCTTCAGTAAGAAGATAAAACAGGTCAGAGGGTGAGGAGTTGTTATTTCCATAACATTTATTTGTTTTCACGTATGGATCTATATCTTCCCCTCTTGTTAATATTTGGAACATCCCTCCTCTGCCATATACTTACATTAGAAACTTTTGCAAGTTACAATCTAGCCCAGTCAGAGACCTAGGCATAAAACACTCTGTGCATACTTCTTTTCATTTATTTTAGCGTGTGCTATAAACTCAATGTTTGTGTCTTCCCAAAATTCATACATTGCAATGTTAATCCCCAGTGTAGTGCTGTTAGGAGGATAGGCCTCTAAAAGGTAATCGGGCCATTAGTGTGGAGCCCTTGTGAATGGGATTAGTGCCCTTATAAAAGGACATCAAGAGTACACTCTCTCTGCCGTCCTCCAAGTGAGGACACAATGACAATTTGGTTGTCTGTGAGCCAGTAAGAGGCCTCTCACCAGACACTGGATCTGTTGGTACCTTGATGTTGGAATCCCCAGTCTCCAGAACTGTGACAACTTTATTTTTGTTGTTTAAGTCACTCATTCAGAGGTATTTAATTATGGCAGCCTAAACTAAGAAAATGTATTGCCATTATTTATTAATTACTAGAGATCCGGTGCCTGGATTCATGCACTGGTGGAGTCCCTCGGCTTGGCCTGCAGGAATCCGGCTGAAACCGGCTCTCCAACATCCCTCGAGGGTTCCCAGATTGCAAAAAGGCACAGGCCAGGCTGAGGGACCCCACGGGTGCATGATTGGGGTCGGGAAGAGGCCGATGGAGGGCTACAGGGTGTGTCTGGCCCTTCTCACCCAGTCCCGATCAGCCAGATCCCAGCAGCAAGCTAACCTACCAGTCGGAGCGTCTGCCCCCTGGTGGTCAGTGCACATCATAGCAACTGGTCGAACAGTCGGACATATAGCATATTAGGCTTTTATTATATAGGATATGACCCCCTGGAATTGAAAACATGAGATCATCTTTGTATTCCAAAATATCCTCTAAATTTAAAATTGTGTCTGGTTTCTAGTGGGTGCTTAGTAGGAAAATGTTAGGTAATTAAATTCTAGACTTAAGCTTACTTTCCTTTCCTTAGTCCTCAGCCCTACACCCAATCCTAGCCCATTGGCTTTAGTAACTTAAACCTTACCATCACCATAGCTTCTGAGGATCACTGAACAAGAGGAAAAAGTTAAACCCAAACCCTGATAACATTTGGGATAACTCTCTGAAAATAAGATGTATATGTTTTTTACATTCTGTAACTACATACATTTTTTCAGGTCAACATAGAAAATTTGAAAAGCTGCTATGACAACCACCTCATAGGCTGTCAAGTTTAAAACAGCATGAATTATATTTTAAAATCAGTTCTTTATCTTTCTTTAAAACAAAGAACTTTCCTTACATAATTTAATGACAATATTGAAAAAAACTATGGAAGACCTATTGTTCTTCATAACAGTCATTGCATTTGGTCTTGGAAAAGTTATTTCAGCAGCCTGCATTCAGTTGAATGTGTTTTCTTCGAATTATGGTCTACATTGTTCTTTGAATTTTTGAACATAGTAATAAAACTGGGTAACATTTGAAAAAATGTCTAAAGCCAATGTATTGATAAATGTGAATTGTGAATTTTGTGGCCTCTATGTTTTAATCTCTCTTCAAGGAACTCAGGCATATATTAAATATAAACTTTCTGAAAGATATTATAGCTATTATACACATAAAACTTTAACATATATATTATGTTACTTCCTTCACATATACTTAATTATTGGGTGAATTGATCTGTACAATATATCACGGACTTAAATGATATTGAGGTGCATTAGATCACTACACACTACATACACACTTACTTGCATTCATACCTAGATATATATATATATAAGCAATATATACACACACTAGCAAAACTTTTCTTGGCATAAAATAGTTAATGTCATTATGTAAGAGATGCTTTATTAATATAAAAGTGCGATATTGTATGTCATAAACTATTAGAACTGTAAGTAAAGTGTCTGGGTATGGCAAGGTGAGCTGAAATCTTAATTCATTAAATTTAAATAAGCAAAGCAACTAAGCAAATGCACCTGGAATAGAAGAGAAGCATCCAGGTTAAAAAAATGCATGTAGAATTATTAAAATTTATACACAAATTATTATTGCAGACTACACTTTATTCAACATATTAGTGTAATGACAGGAGACAAAATTGCAAGCAATTAGCAATGCATTGATAGCAAATAAACATTCACTTCAGGAAATAATTTTGAGTATATTGTGCTTCTGTACATTGCTTTTCTTTTCTGCAAATGAAAACCAATAAATATATGTAGTTGAGCATATATTACATTGTTGTGAATGTTTATATGCTTAAATTTAGTATATTAGGCTATATAAAACTAAATTTATTACATCCTAACATGCACTGTGTTGTCTTATTCTGTTTTTTATGTTCCTGGCATCACAGGTTCTCCAGGTTGGGTCCACTTAGGATCCAGTGTACACAGGAGAGGTGATGTCCAGTTCAATTGTATCTCATCCGGTGAGGCCTCCCGTGTTGCCAGAGAGCAATGTGCCTGAAGACTGTGGGTAAGGAGTTATGTTTCCTTAAATAGATCATAAAAGACGGGGTTGTTCAGGCACTTCTATATTTTATTAGTTATCTTAAACACCAACTCACTAACTAAAGTATGGAAACTAAATGTTTCCTTAGGTATATCTCTGAGGAAATTTATTCTAGCAACTTCAAAATCAAACAAAGAGCAGTCAGGGATAGAAGAAGTGAGAATTGGCAGGAAAAAGAGAGAACATATATAAGCAAAAGAATAGGTTCCATAAAAATATTGAAGAGTTCAATCCATATCCAAATATTTTCTCTAGTTCATTTAATGTTCTATGTATTCTTCACAAAGAAACAAACCAAAATAAGAACTAAGCTAATTTCTTTGTTACCCTGGGATACTGTTCCATTGCCTTTTAAAACATCCACATTTCTTACAGTCATATTCAGTAGCCAAAGGCATGTTTTGATGGGAAGTAGAGAGGCTCTAACAATTTATCTATTGTCTTTGAATTTTCTACATTGAATCAGTCATATACATGAATTGGAGAATTTTATTCAATAGAAATCTCCAAAGGTGCTAAAATAATATATTACCACTAGAGGCCCGGTACACGGATTCGTGCACTGGTGGGGTCCCTCAGCCTGGCCTGTGCCCTCTCATAATCTGGAACCCCTCAGGGGATGTTGGGCTACCAGTTTCAACCCGATCCCTGCAGGCTAGGCCGAGGGACCCCACCTCATGCACCGGGCCGGTTTCGGCCAATCCTGCACCAGGCCTTTACTATGCATATAAGATCTTTGGTTAATCTCTTTCCCCCATGCCTGTGCATTGAGCATCTGCCCTCTGGTGGTCAGTGAGCATCATAGGTACCGGTCGAACAGTCGAATGGTTGCTTAGGCTTTTATATATATAGTAGGGCCATATGGTATGATTTAGTACTGATTTAAAGAAAATAAGGCAAAGATCAAAATGAGTATGTCTGATCATCTCTACTGTGTTTTCCTCAAGCATATCATAATGGACTTTTTGTCTGTATAACTGCAATTTTATATGTCTGTCAATACTTTCTAGGTCTTGAAAATGAGTATTATTAAATGATTAGAAATCCCCATGAGAAAAACAAAAACAAGATTCAATATCCTCAACTAAATTCGGTGTTCTAAAAGTCCTGATTTAGAATTATCATGGGCCAAACAAAACAAAATTGAAAATAAAAAATGAAGCTGCTTTAATGAAATATAGATATAAAGAGGCCCTGTACTTTATTTTATTTCACACTATGTGTGTCCTTAAAACCTTCATGGGAAATGTACTTCAAGTGTACTGAGGAGGGGAGGAGAAGCAGAATAAGGAAGAGGTCACCAGGGCCAGGCTGGAATCTGCAACTCTCATAGGATCCTGCCAGAGATCAGTTTTACCCCACACTCCCCCTGCTTCCCCAGTGTGTGCTCGCGAGCACACACACACACACACACACACACACACACACACACACACAATTCTTATCTGTCTTCTGCTTTGGAATCAGAGGAGGAGCCATTCTCCTCCAGCAAGTACACACACACACACACACACACACACACACACACACGAACTGTCTTCTGCTTTGGAATCAGAGGAGAAGCCATTCTCCTCCAGCAAGTAAGG